GACCTTAAAAAAATTTAAAAAAGAAACTTGGAGTAAGATTTACTGCAAGTGTTTATGCTGAGAAAGGATGTTGATAACAAAAAATGAGATGCTTCAAGGACCATATGATAGAAAGGCAATGAACTGGAACCTTCACTGAGGTCCTGAAATGACCATAGCTAGGAAAACAGGTTGTACTCAGAGAATGTGATACCTGAATTAGTGATTACACAGTAGAAAAAATCTACATTAATAGCAAAATTCATAATGTGAGAGAGAGAGATGTGAATTGGAGCTGTGGACAAGGTCTTTAGAGATGAGGATGTTAAGGACAGAGAGTCCGTGTGCACACGGGTGTCACCAAAGATAGTAATGGCAGGATTTGCGTGGAGATAATGTTAGTGAGCCAGTCACCAAAATTTTTGATAAATAATTGGGAGTATACTGGATTTTTCTGTTGACAATGGCAATAAGATGGCAACGAGAAATGTACAGTGAAATATCATGGATCTCAAACGAGTTGTAATGTGTGTGTTTTACAAGAGAGTGGAGGTCTTATTGCTGGAAGTACTGCTGGAGAGTATGGAGTGCAGAAACAATATCTCACCACCCAGGACTATGAGAAATGAGCAGCTAGCACTTAAGAGCTTAGCAATGAAACTGGTATCTTCATCTGAGAGTCAGGTTTTACTTAACGGCAAAAAGGTGCAAATGGTGAAGATAGGGCTATTTTTACAACCCCACAATGACAGTTCTAGAGGTTATGGTGGGAAAGTTTTGAAAGTAAAGGTGTGGTATGGAGCTGGATCCAAGAAAAGGAAATACATAATGTTGGGAAGAACAGTGCAGTACAGTATAAAAAAAATCACAAAGCCCTACTCATGAGGCATCGACCAATTTAAACAGAAAAAGAGCAATGATGGATGGGGAACCCCTTTGAGCAGGGTGGTCTCTGAGCACAGGGACCTATAGTTTCACTTTTTCAGCAGGAATGCCTACAGTCCCAACACTTTCCAACTCTGTTTACAGGATACACAGCTAGGGTGAAGGTGCTTAAAGAAACCGTCACCATTATAAATTAATACATTGCCATTTTATTTATATATTAGTCCTCCCTAAGTCTTTTTAGTATGAACCATTGTAAGAGCATAAGTTTTTAGTATATTAACACAATTGATTTTCTGCATCTGCAAATCTAATGTTTGGTCTTTAAATCAGTATGTTTTCATCAAGGTTGTTACATTTACGGGATACAGATATGGGCCTTGTAACCAGAGAGCCTAATTTGGAAAAAAAAATCACATTATCTTATCATACCTTTTCAACCACAACATGTATGAACACAGATTTTTATCACATATGAAGAAAAATAATCAGCCCATTAATCAGTATCATAATAAGACAGGCTATTCCCACTCTTGACCGAGAGCTTATATCTTAATTTTCTCAACTGTTAAAAAAAATATTCAAACCATTGCCTGTGTTTCACACAACTATATATCCTGCCAACTATCATTAATCTTTCTAAAACTCAATTACATAAGGCCTTTGAAAAACGAAAGAAAAAGAGGTGACCACTTGATTTCTTCGTCCCTTTTGTTCACTCTGCCAATATGCATTTTTCTAGAACACTTTCTATGCACTAGGTATTGCATTAGGTCAAACCTTTGGCCTTGAGGAGTTCATGAGTTGAGGGTATTCAGTTCCCTCAACACTCTGGTGATCTTACAGATGACATACTTCAGTTTCATACTTCATGTTGAATATTGATTTTCCAACATTTTCAACAAAGAAAGGTCATCCTAGGGAAAGATCTTTTACTTTAGTAACAATCTTTAATTTTTTTTTCAAACACAAATGCTGAAACTCATGGCCTTCATTCAAACAAGCTTTCATTTAAACAGATTTTCTTCTTTTCTCAGACTTGAATGTAGCTGGTGACTTGACAGTTGAACAGCTGTTGACTTAAATTTCCATAAGTCTGTATGTTTTGAAAAAGAAGATTAAAATACTTCACTTTTCTATTCAGGTCCAACAAAAACAAGGGCAGCCAAACCTAAACCATTTTGTGAAGAGAAAAAGGATAGAATTCTTTTGGTCTTTTGCGTTGTATCTTTTCATATCACTCCCCCACATCCCCTGCCGCCACAAGACACACAAACACACACACACACACACACACATGCACACACACCCCTCTGTCCCCAAAAGGAGCCCAAACTTAATTTTTCATGGGGTTTGTAGAAACACACGTAATGAAAACAGTATTGTTTATTCAACATCAAAGACTTTCTAGATTTGTCTCTTTGTCAGCAGCTTTTGAGAATCATTAATTTAAAGCAATGTAGATAGTTGTCTTTATTGGATAAACATCAAAACCCTCACAAAGGAAGAAAAAAGAGAAATGCTCTGGCACTGGAATTAACGCTTTGGAATAGAGATCGAGGATATTGTCGGTTGATTTCAGAGACTAACAGAACTTGTATGTAGACATTCTCAATTGAACATCTCATTCGGTGCTCTTTTCTCTGTTTAAGCCTAGTGTTAATTTAAGTGGAGGACTCAGCAGACTTTGCTTTTAGTATATCTAAATAAAATACACTCTCTTGCAATATATGTAAGGATATCACGTCAGTGAACACTACATTTTTGGTTATCTATTGAGGGAAGGAATAAAAGAGGCTGAGACTCTTTTCTCTTTCTTCACTGTTTGTGTAACCATGGCCCTCCCTGTTCTGTTTTCACGTAAATGAAAAACAAACAAACACACAACATGATAAGTGCACAGTTACCCTGGATCTTAAACTAGAGAAGAATGCAAGTAGTTATTTAAAGATAATCAGCTACATCAACAGCATCCAGTCTGGCCAACTATGTGGCAGGTTCAACCAAGCAAAGCTGAGTCAGGTGTGATGTTGACTTCAGTTGGCCACTCAGGAAGGTCCAGATAAGATGAACATTGGGCACTCCCTTAAAAAAAAGACATTCAAGGGACTGGCTTCGTGGCGCAGTGGTTAAGTTCACGCATTCTGCTCCAGTGGCCCAGGGTTCGCTGCTTCAGATCCTAGATGCAGACCTACACACCACTTGTCAAGCCATGCTGTGGCAGGCAACCCACATATAAAGTAGAGGAAGATGAGCACGATGTTAGCTCAGGGCCATTCTTCCTCAGCAAAAAGAGGAAGATTGGTGGCAGATGTCAGCTCAGGGCTAATCTTCCTCAAAAAAAAAAAGAAAGAAAAAAAAGGCATTCAAAGTTCTGTACATATTTCATTAGATTTCACGTTTTAAGAATATCCAGTATGTAAAATAGTCAAGGTATTACATTTTCTCCAGGAAAAAAAGCATGTAATGAATGCTAAATTTTATTAATAATTTGAAATTTAATTCTGATCATAATATGATAAATATGATTAAAATTCTATGAGAATCCATTCACTTAGCCAGTATTTATTGAGCATTCACTAGATTCACTCAGCGAACATTTTTTGGGCACCTTCCTGGTGACAGGCTTATTTGTAGATATTGAAGACACAAGAACAACATGTCATATCTCAGATCCCAGGAATACAGAGATGAAGGCGGTGTCGACAAGCAAGATTGACAGGACCATACAAAACTAATTTTGAGACATTATGATAACAGATAAAATAGGAATTAATAAAAAAGTTATTAGTGTTAAGGGGAATAATCAATTAATTGAATACTGGGACAAAGACCAGGGAAGACTTTCCAGAAGATAAGGTATTGATAATGGTCCAGTAAGGAAGAGGAAACATTGCCAAGGTAAGATAAAAGAGGAATGCTCATATCTCTGAGAGCTATGAAAGAGTATAATTAGTTTCATTGTATTGTTATTTGATCTGCTTTTTTCAAGTATTGTTATTTCACGTACATATTTCTATATAAGTTCATGGTCCTAAACTGTAACATCTTAATAGCTGTATTGCATTTTAATGCATGGATAAAGCACAGTTTAATAAACTGCTGTTAGATATTTGATTGTTTCCAGTTTTTCATTAAATTACCATATACATTTCAGAAAAAAAACTTTGAAAAGTTGAAGTATATTCATAGAACTGATCCCATACTTTTCCAGACATAAGTGAGTTTCAAGGTTTAACTCTGATGGACCAGCCCTGGTTAAAGTTTGGCACACTTGGTTTCAGCAGCCCAGATCTGCTTCCTGGGTGTAGAACCATACCACTCACTTGTCAGTGGCCATGCTGTGGCAGCGGCTCACATGAAGAAAAGAGGAAGATTGGCAACAGAACTTAGCTCAGGGTGAATCTTCCTCAGCAAAAAAAAATAAATAAATAAATAAAAATTTATCTCTCAGGAAACTGCAACTATTTATTTTGAACATCATTAGTGACTGATAAGCACACTAGATTTCCTGTAGTTTAATAAGTTTTTACTGGTTCATTAAATTTCAGCTACACTGAGGCAGAGATCATTTCATTCACTAATATATACCTAAGACTTGTAGTGCCTGATACAAACCCTCAGTAATTAATTACTAAATGAATGAATGAATGGATGGACATCATCATTTAACTTAACTCTGTTTATTTAATAGGTGTATTTTAACATCATAGAGTTTGCTTATATCCACATGTTGATTTATTATTTTCTCGTCATATACTATCCACCTTGTACTACATTTATATTATAGGGTTATCTCGCACACTCTCTGGTTCTTAACCAATAGCTCTTCTACTCGTTCTTCTGGTTACAACATGCCACTTGTGTTTGGAAGAGTTAAGCGCCCAAGCCCAGGGAGTAATCATGACTATCTAAGCCTACAGATTTCATTCTTCTTTGCCAGACATCTACTTTTGCAGCCAGCAGCGGCCATATGATCCATTTCTTATCACTAAGATTAAGAGAAAGTTTCCTGAAAAAACTTCTTGGAATTATTTTTTTGTTATTGGGGGAAAAAAAAACAAAAAGAAAGAAAACCACTTGAGGAAAAACCCATTTTTATCAACGTCTCTCATGATTATTTGCTTTGAATGCAGTCATGATGTCTGGAGGTGTCGCCATTTGGAAACCATATTTCAACATGCCTGGAGTCAAAGAAGCAACCAGCTGCAGACAATGGAGTAGAAGCACGTCCTTGGTAAAATGATGGAGCTGTACCAACTCTGGACTGCTAACCTCTGGACTTCCTTGTATTTAAGGTAATTAAAAAACATTATTGCTTAAGTCACTCTAAGGTGGAGTTTCCATTACTCGAATGTGAAAGTCTTTCTGGCACAATTTTACTGTGAAACTTTATTAATGTTATACTTAAACCCATCCACCATAGCTTTCATGTTATCACTCCTTTCATCATTGGTCAAATTTCTTTAGATCTGGAATAAATATTATATTGTTTTCCTTTAATTTCACAAATTAATTCTATTTAGGTATATCTCTTGCAGTTTATTTCAACATACGAAATGAAGAATGGGATAAATTAATCTTTACACTCAGATTTAAAGCCCATAGGAACATAGTTACTGAATTTTCTGTTGGAATTTCTGCAGTCAATTTTTACTTTTCTTTCTGCTGGTCATTTTTTATCATTTTTAACATTACGTCAAAAGATTTTGTCAATTTGGGACTGGCCCCGTGGCTGAGTGGTTAAGTTCGCGCGCTCCGCTGCAGGCGGCCCAGTGTTTTGTTGGTTCGAATCCTGGGCGCGGACATGGCACTGCTCATCAAGCCACGCTGAGGTGGCATCCCACATACCACAACTAGAAGGACCCACAACGAAGAATATACAACTATGTACCGGGGGGAGCTTTGGGGAGAAAAAGGAAAAAATAAAATCTTTAAAAAAAAAAGAAGATTTTGTCGATTAAAAATTTGGATGTATTTTAAAAGCTGGCATGATCAGTTTGGCATCATTAATTTAAAAATATGTTAATCCTTGACTAAATTAATATACTTACCTAATTTGATTTTAGTAACAATTTGTCAAGTTCTAGGAAATATTCCACGAGGACTTAAATTATCAGGAGATTTTTCCACAGAGATAGAAGAGGGGAAGGTAATGTGACCACAGATGCATTCAGGAGTTATTCGGCTACAAGCCAAGGGGTGCCAGTAGCCGCTAGAAACTACAAGAGGCAAGGAACAGATTCTCCCCCAGACCCTTTGGAGGGAGTATGGCCCTGCTGACATCTTTGATTTAGGCCCAGTGATACTGATTTCAGATATTTTGCTTCCAAAAATATAAAGAAAAAAACTTCTACTGCTTTAAGCCATCAACTTTGTTGTAATTTGTTATAGGAGCCATAGGAAATGAATACTAATGTCTTTGTTATTGTTTCCATCATTCTTCTATATGAACATTACTTGTGCACTGTAGTTTGACTAATTGAAAATTCTTATCTCTAGTAATTTATTTGCCTGAATATTCTCATACACAATCATCTGCAAAAGTGCTATTTTTATTCCTTTTTCCTAATGCTGTATTTTTCGTACTTTGTTTTTTGCTATTAGAGATATTGCATGAATTCCAATACAATACCAAAAGAACGACAGGATTGTGCTCTAATTTATCTACATCTTGTTTTGAGAAAGAATTGTCGGTGCTTATTCATTGAATAGAATGATTTCTTATTCTCTCAATATATATTTTTGTTTTACACATCTTTAGAAATAACATGGGCCTTTATAGCATTTCACAGTACAATCAATGTAGAGTGGTATAAAATGATGATCGAATTTATAGTATAATAGCTGTGAAATGCATACATCTTACATGATAGATTAAGTTAATAATTTCCTGATGGTTATCATCATGTGGTTGAATCTGTATATTGAGCTCTTACTCAGATTTTTTAAAGATCACTTTGCTATTGATAGTTTACCCACCCCTCGCGTAAGAAGGTTGCCAAGAAAAGTCTCTGGGTCTCTTTAGATCTTGGAAGTAGAGCTCTCTGTTGATAAAAGTTATAGAGTTGCAGATTCAGAAGGAAAAATTTCCAAGCACTGAGAAGGCAAATGTCACAAAGTATTTTTATCTTTTTGAAAAATGGGCTCATAGAAATGATGGTGCCAAATAGCCCATGAACAAAGGATTTTAAGGGTAGAAAGTGGTATGTTTGGGCCAATGCTGGAAGGACTGAAGTACTGTCTAAGTTTTCCCTAGGAAAGAGGAAAAGAACTGGATTTAGAGGATAGTCATTAAACGGGACAGATCCATTTCTCTGCTCCAATATACAGCATCTAAGAGAGAAGGGAATTTGATAGGGAAGAACACAGAGTCCAGAAAACTAAGACTGACATCTTGAGAACCATTGAAAAATCCACGCACAGGCTTGATAAGGAAGCAGTGAATCCACAGACCTTAAAGGGAATATGGATGTTTGGGCAATGAGCCTGTGAGCCATGAAGAGAAAAAACTAAAACCCAAAAGACACTTCTCTAAATGTTCTTCATAACTTACATCCCCGCTCCTCCTTCACCAACTCTACAAGAGGAGGAGGCTCCAAACGCTGCCAAGATGAATTTCTTCCAGCCAGGTAGACGGAGATGAGAAAAGAATTATCGAGAAAGTACCATTTCTTTTACGTGATGGTCGAACAGAAAATTTATACATACTGAACAGGTCTTTCTTCCCTAAAAGTACTTAATCATATAGTAATATTATAATGTATTGAATTCTGTTTAGTCTGTATCTAAATTCATACATGATATTTAACTCTAATTTGTCTGGACTATTTTGGATATTTTTCTACTAATTTATAAACACACATATCCATACACATTTGCTTTATAACAGCTTACAGAACATAGAAATTATTCTTTTAATATTTATAGTCATTCTACAGGGAATCCACTGGAATTTATCCTATAAAAATTATTTTAGTGACTTTTACAGTATTTTATTGCTTATTGATTATACTTGGACTTTTTTATTTGTTTATTTATTTATTGGCCCATAAAGTTGATCCTTTTCCCACTTCAATCTATACTGGCTTTTAAATGCAGCCTACACTCACATTAGCTTTCCTGGTACCTATAGACACCATTGGTTGACACTGAATTTTTAGTCAACTGTAACACTTAACATTTCTTTCAGACAGGCTTCCAAGTCATTTTTAGAATTCCTATACATTTGACCTTTTAGTCTTAAGTGTAATAACATAGGGATTTTATTAAAATTCATCTTAATATATTTTCATTCATCTTGTATAAGTGATTCTATCAAATAGTAATTATTATATAATGTTGAATAAATGAATGATTTCTGGAGTCTGATTCTGTCATCCGACTGACATTACTCTTCACATTTGATAAGCATGCTATCTTCAAAGTTATTATTTGAACTATTGCTTAAAACAGAGCAGAGAAAAGTGTTCTGGGAACGTCCTTTGAAACTTCCCTTAATTTTGATATCAATCCATTAATCAAAGCCTTTTGGTTTCAGTTGTTCAGTCATTTATGAACCCAACTTATTTTATTATATCTAGCCATATTTTTCCTTCCTAAACATGATGTTATTATGAGTTAACTGGTCAATATTTTGTTATACTCCCGACTCACTCTCTCGATTGCATTATCTTGATATATTGATCTAATAATCAAGGTAAATAACTTAATTAGAAATTGGAATTTGAAATTACAATTATATCTAGATGTAATTCTATTTACTTTGCTTACATTTTTCTTAAGGTCTCTCAATGCTATATTGTTTGAGATGTATTCCTTCAGTATTGTTAGTGTTTTTTTCCCATATATTCTATATTCCTTAAAGTAATGTTTCATTCTTTTAAGTAATTTTCCTATCATACATGTATTATGTGATTCCACAGTTAGAAATTCATGCATTGCTGTTACCCACATAAGCCTGGTTAAGTCTAAATTACTCTCTTGTTTTTAGTCTATTTGTGTCTTCTACTTATAAATGAAGTAATTTTGAATATTTTTTTAAATCTAGTCAGTGACCTGTATATTTCTGTAGGGAAGTTAAGGCCATTTACATGTAACCTGATATATGCATACATATGTTATAGATGTATATACAATATGCATGCATATATACAAGTGCATATTCCAATATGTATACTTACATGTATACATATACATAAATATGTGTGTATTTTTATGTGTATTGTATACATATATACAAAATCCTAAGCAATGTTAAAAATTAACCTTTAATTCTTATTTCTTTTAATAAATTTATTTGGTATTTAATAAGTTTAAGCTCTTTATTTCCTTGAACTAGAATAATTATATAGGTTCACTAACTGATGGGACATGAGCAACATGAAAATAGATGTTTAAATTTGCAGCAACTACATTTTTTTTTTTTAAATATTGGCACCTGAGCTAACAACTGTTGCCAATCTTCTTTTGTTTTTCTCCTGCTTTTTCTCCCCGAATCCCCCCAGTACATAGTTGCATATTTTAGTTGTGGGTCCTTCTAGTTGTGGCATGTGGTATGCCGCCTCAACATGGCCTGACGAGCAGTGCCATGTCCGTGCCCAGGATCTGAACCAGTGAAACCCTGGGCCACGGAAGCAGAGCACGTGAACTTAACCACTCAGCCATGGGGGCGGCCCCTGCATTTTTTTTTTCATTTTTCCGAATTTTCTTTTGTTGGATAGTTCTTAAAATATACTATAGCACATCAGCTATTCATTCTTTAATATGTTAACAAATATTTTAAAATAACTTGAGAATTCTATTGTTTTATTTATTCACTTATTTTTTTTTAGATATATCTTTTCATTCATATTAACAAAGATTGAGGAAGTAGCTTAACAATATTTCCTAATTTTTATATATCTTTTGTTATTATATTTTGGTTAAAAACTTTTTGAAGAAAAATTTCATATGTTGTCACACTATATAGCCTTCTGTTTATTAGTATATTTTGCTTAACAAAACTAAATTTATGCTAACATTTAAGGTCAGTTAACTTTCCATAACTTATATTGTCCTTTAAGTCCTTAATTGTCTCTTACTTTGAGCATAGCAATAGAGATTATAAGCTAACAAATTATTTTCGTCTCCTGATTTGAAATGCAGTCACTCCTTCCTTCCTTCCTTTCTGTCTGAGGAAGATTGGCCCTGAGCTGACATCTGTTGCCAAACTTCCTCTTTTTGCTTGAGGAAGATGGTCCCTAAGCTAACATCCGTACCAATCTTCCTCTACTTTGTATATGGGATCGTGTCAAAGCATGGTTGATGAGCAATGTGCAGATCTGTGCCCGGGATCCGAACCTACAAACCTCAAGACGCCAAAGCGGAGCACACAAACTTAACCACTATGCCAGAGGACCAGCCCCACTTTTTCCTTTTAAATTTAAAAATAACTTTGGCCCAGTTATATTGATTTAAATTCAATTATCTTTGTTTAGCTTCTCCTACATTATTCTTCCACATGCGCTTGGTTTTAGGAGTTAAAATTATTTATCTTCATAATTTATCTTTCCTTTCTTTCTGGCAGCTCATAAGATAATGCCTTTCTCTTTAAAGTTTCAAAACTTTTACATCAATGCCTCGATATTGTCTTTTTGTTGATTATTCCTGTCAACTCTGCTGAATTCCAGACAAAATTTATTTTTTAATATAAGACATAAATCCATAATGTTATTCTGAATATGGCTGGGGATACTGTTTCTCTGGGTTCTAAGATCTGAGTCCTTGAAATTAAGCATTGTGTCCTATTTGTATTTTTATCTATAACAAGAAGCACAGTGCCTGCATTTGTCTTTATCTGCATCAATATCTGTATCTATCTATAACTATGCTATACCTAATCTATCTCTTGACTGAGCTAGTTAGCTCTCAAAAGAATTATGTGTCTCAAGCAGTATTCGTGGCTGCATGGGACTTACTCCCCAACTTCAATAATGCATGTGTCTTACAAAAGCATATATGCTGCTTACTTTTTTCTTTCTCTACATATCCTGTAAGCATGAGGTCACCAATGTGGTAGACCAGCGTGACATTTGAGGTTTGGCATAATGATCCAGATTTCTGTGGGCTAAAATGTGGTGCAAATTGGGAGAATTTATCTCAGAGGTATAGCAAAGAGGAGGTGCCTTACAGGAGATAAGAAAGTGCTTGCCATTTTTTCTACTTATTGAAATAGAGACAGAGGAAAAAATAGATTTCTTTACCAAAATATGAATACCAAATACTAGAGATTTTATACTTAGCTATGCCAACATACAAGATGATCGCTCCAGTGGAAATTACTATGTGGTTAAGCTTATGATAACTCATTGACATTTTACAAAGTCTTTTGCATTGGCCAAATGGGAGCATTAAACAATATTTTGTTGGAAGTGACAACTTATGCATCTCTCAAGTTTTGATCATTGCCATAAAAGGTGTGATATCTCCCACTGCTGAAATGTGATTTTTTCTTTTGATTAATTCATTTTGAAACAAGAATTACTTTGGAGATTCTTCCATTTAGTCCTTCCTATCATACTAATTCATATTCCATGGGTCAGTCCAATATAGACATTTTGTCAGTTGCTCACATCTCTTCCACTTTCATACTCAGGAACTGAAGAAAAAAATTAAAAGCTTAATTTGAAATAGCCTAGGTCCAAGTACTTTTTGGGCCTCTTCTCTTTGCTAGCCACACTCACCCCCTTTGTAATTTCATACGGGTTCATGGCTTTGAATACAACCAATACGAAATTCCTCCTTCTGGACTTCTCTCCTAAATTCCAGATTTATATATCCAACTACCAAACATCATCATTTGGATGATTTAATAGCATCTTGAATTTAACTTGTCCAACCTGCTTCAAGCGCAGCATTTCCCATCTCAGAGGATAGCAGCTCCTTCCCCAAAGTTACTTAGGTCAGAAATCACCTTTGATTACTCTTTCTGTCCTCCCTATCAGGAAATCCTGTTGACTTTACCTTCAAAATATCCAGAACCTTATATACCACATCTACTGCTAGACCATAGTTCAAACCACGGTCATCTCTCGCCGGGATATTTGCAAGGACCTTCTAAATGACCTTGCTGATTCTTCTCTTACCCCTACCCCTAAAGTCTGTGCATGACAGAGCACACTGGGGTATCCAATGGCAACACAGGTCAGATTACCTTTCTACTCAGATCAACCTACTTCAAAGCTTCTCCATCTTTTTCAGAAATATAAGCGTTATCTGACCTCATCTCCCACCACTCTTCCCTTAACTGCATTGTTGCGGCCATATTGGCTTTCCCATTGTTCTTAGCACACCTCAGGCAAGGCTACAACTTAGGGTCTTCGCATTGGCTCACCTCTCTGTCTGTAATTCTCTATCTGATTATAACCCTATGAATAGCTGCTACGCATCTTTGTGGTTTCTGCTTGAAGTTTTTACCCTAATCACCCTTGTTAAAATTGTATCCCCCTCCTGACTCACAGCATGGCCAATATCTCTATCCTTTTCTACTATTTTAATTCACTCATAAATTTCTAATATACAGTGTAATTTACTTCTTATATTTACATCTGGTGTTTATTTTTTATTTTTCCTCTTCCTAATAGAATGTAAGTTCCATGCAATCAGGGAACTTTTTCTCCTATTTTCTTCACCACGCTATTCTAGGCACAAAACACAGCTAGACGGACAGGAGGCATTCAAAACTTGTTTATTAAATGAATGACTAAAATAATGAATGAATGAAAATTACATTTCACTAGTTCTTCATTGGTTCCATTTCTCACCAGTAAACTTACAATAAAGGGCAGAGTCTCTGTTTTAGGGTTAGCTCAGAATCAATGTCTAACAAATAAAGAACAATAATACTGTGGGTAATTCTCCTTTCTCTGTGTACAGTTAGCCACGGCAAATGGCTGCACGCCCCGAGGGGAAAGGCTAAGAGGAACATCAGTAGTGTATATTTGTGACGTCTAGTCTTCATAGAATCCTTCTTCCACTGTACTCAGACTCATTCAAATAGCTTTAGATCCGTGAAGTTACACAAGTTTGACAAGTGAGTGAGGGCTTGCAATTCACTATCATAATGTCTTAAAACAAGGTAGTAATTAAACAAATTTTGAGATTTTTCCAGTTATAATAATCATATATGTCGGACAGCCTATGTATCTGGGCTCTAGGAGACCAAAAATCAGTTAAACTGCTAAATACTCCAGCATGTCAGACCATTCTGACTTCCATGGCAGCTCCTTGGCCTCTCCTAGTGACTTTTCTTTGTGTGCCTCCACTTAGGTGCAGTCACTCTAGGATTCTTCCAATCCCCCCTAAAAACTATGAGCTCCTTTCAACCACAGCATTTCATACCAGCATCCCGGTTGACAAATACAGCCACTAATCACTATTCAAATGCTGCTTCCTTCACTGATGTATTTCTCACAGCCTTGGGTCTGCTGGGTTTTCATGAAGAACAGAGTGGGTCAACGAGCTGGTCACTCATGACATATTCACTCGAGCATTTCACTCTCTCCTGATTATGTGGAGCACTTCCCCAGTATTATTTTTTAAATGCTCACATCTCAACAAGGTTTAGTATGAGACACTATTGAAAGAACAATTATGAGCAAACAATTGTTACTATCCCCAGCTGCTTGAGCTAACACATTGAATTCAAAAACTCTGAGAATTTTAGCCATTGGTGGATTCAGACTGATAGCAAATTATGTTCTTCTTTTGCAAACATCATCAGCCTATGCCCAAATGTAAGAGCAAAATTTTTTGCTGATAAGATTCACCGAAGTCCTAAAATTCTCTTAGTGAGTCAACCTCTTCTCTAGTATCTGACTAGGCAATTGACATTCAATCAGTAACCCTCTTCCACACACTGGAGAGCGTGGTCATGAGGCCTTACAAGACTTATGCCAGTGGGCACTTACAGGGTAACTCCCTCCGGAAAAGAAGTTACAGCATTGTACTAAAGATGGACTAACAGACCATTAAATCTATTCTGTTTTCTGGCTGTAGAACTAAATAAATTTTCCTATCTGTCTTGAATATAAGTGTGACATGGGACTAATTTTCCCCAGTAGAATGTGAGTAGAATTGATGTTTCACTTCTGGTGTGCCCTCTCTACTCCTTCGTTTCTGTTTCTCACTGCTAGCTGGATTTCAATGCCTAGGATAAACTCAAGAGACATGTTTTGTAACAAAAAATCTAAAACATGTGGCAAAGGCATAGCATACAGGAAACAAGAAATAATAAAACTGTTATCAGAGGCTGAAGAGATGACGATCCGTATTACGTAATGGCAAAACATTTGGTAAAACTCTTGCCTACAATTTCCTGGGGGAAGATCACAAGTCTACTGAACTGGCAGTTGTGGGGAAAAGACTGACAAGAATCAAAGTATTCATGTCTGTTAGATACTATTGTATCTTTTTGTCAGCATATTACAAGAAAGAAACACATCCAGAAGGAAATTGGCCAGTTTGCAAGCACAAACAGGAAAGAGAGACTGTCTGGAAATTCAGAGCCTTTGAGAGTGGCAAAGCTAACTGCTTCTAACCACCAAACAGTGGGTAATGTGATGAAAAAACCCTTGAGAAACAAAAATCACATTAAAACACAACCATGCACAGGAAAAATCCCTTCCAGCAATGATGAAGTAATAGAACCCCAATTTATTATTTTCCCCTAAACAACTAGAAAACTGAAGAAGGTATATGAAAGAATGAAAAAGAGGAAGAAAGAAAGGGAGGGAGGTAGGAAGAGAGAAAGAGGGAAGAAGGGATGAAAGAAAAAAGACCTATATGACTCTCTCAATAGATGCAGAATTTTTTTCTTACAAAATTCAGCACATACTCATGAAAAAAAAAAAAAAAAGATTAACCAATCTAGAAATAAAAAAGAAGTTCCCAAAATTGAAGCACACTTACAAAAAAAAAAAAAATCCTCCATAGTTAACATTATACTTCATGGCAAAAGATTGACTGCTTTCTTTCCTCCTATGATCGGGAACAAGATGAGGATGCCTTCACCACTTCTGTTCATCATAATGAAGGTAAGAAAAGGAAACTGAAAAGAAACTTTACAGTTTGGAAAGAAAAAAGTAAAAATGTCTTTATTTGCACATGACATGGTTTTCTACATGGAAAATATCAAAGCTACTACAACTAATTAATGCACATATGAAGGATACAAGAGCAATATAAAAAATCAATTATATGCCTGTATATTAACAATTAAAAATTGGAACTTGAAGTAAAAACAATAGCATTTCTGATAAAATAAAAAATAGGAAATACTGAGAGACAAATTTAATTAAATATAAGCAAAATTTGTGAACTGAAATAATACACAACGTTGCTTGGGTAACATAAAGAGAACCAAAAGAAGTGGAAATGTATACCATATTCATGGTAAAAAACCCAGAAAATATTAAGATGTCCATTCTCGCAAAATTGATCTATAGACTAAAGGCAATCCTGATCAAAATCTCAGCTGAGGTTTTATGATTTTGTTTTTGGTAGAACTTTTTGACAAGCTTATTTTAAAACATAGGGAACTGAAAAATGAACCATTATCAGAAACAAGTTTTTGAAATAAAAACAAAGTTGGAGTACTTACTATACATCATATCAAAACTTACAATAATGGTCAGTAAATAAGACAGTGTGACATTGGCGTATAGACAGACATGTGAGATGGAACAAAGATTCTAAAAATTGACACCCACATATATAAATAGACAATATTGATATATATTACTGATATTTCAACATATTTCCAAGGTGATTCAATGTAGAAATTTTGCTAAACTAGTGAAGTAACAATTGATATCCATATACAAAATAATAAACTTCTATCCTTACCCCTCACCATACTCAAAAAGCTGATTCAAGTGGACCATTGACTTAAAAGTAAGAGCTAGGGCCCAGCTCCATGGCCAAGTTTTTAAAGTTCCATGCTCTCCTGGGCTGTCTGGGTTCAGATCCCAGGTGAGGACCTACTCCGCTCAGTAGCCATGCTGGTGAGGTGTTCCACATACAAAATAGAGGAAGATTGGCATGGATGGTAGCTTATGGCTAGTCTTCCTCAAGGAAAAAAAAAATAAGGATTGGCAATGGATGTTAGTTCAGGGCAAATCTTCCTCAGGAAAAACAAATAAATGCATAAATAAAAGTAAAGGCTAAAACAATTACAATTCTAGAAGAAATCATATGAGAAAATCTTTTTATCCTTGGGGAGGGCAATGATATCTTGGATAAGACACAAAAAGCAGAAACCACAAACGGAAAAAGTGATAAACTAGACTTATCTAAATCAAAAACTTCTGCTCCATAAAGGACTCTTATGGGAATTTAAAGGCAAGTCACCAACTGGGAGAAAATATTTGCAACATAAAATTTGACAAAGGATCTTTTTTTTTCCAAACTATGCAGAACTCTATAACTCAATAGGACAAAGAAGGGGGACAAAATATTTGAACACATGTTATAGAAGAGGATAAAAAAATTATATAAACACATAAAAAGATGCATACCATAGTCATCACTAATGGGAAATATCACAATTAAATCACTGCACACTTTCCAGAATAGCTAACGTTATAAAGATTGACAATATTACATGGTGGAGAGAATAAGTGAAACTCGTAAATTGCTGGTGAGAATGTAAAACCATATAACCACATTGGCAGTTTCTTGTAAAGTCAAACATACATTTACCATATTTATCACTCCCACATTTATCAAAAAGAAGTGAAAACACATTCTCATAAAAATTTGCACACAAATGGTCACAGGTCATAGAGCATGACAGCCAAAAACTGGAAACAACTCAAATGTTCATCAAGAGGATAACGGAGAAACATATTTTGGTATATCCATATAATAGGATACTATTCAGCAAAAAATAGAATGAACGCTTGATATACAATATCAAGGAAGAATCTCAAAATCACTAGGCTGATTAAAAGATACAAAATAGTGCATACTGTATGATTTCATTTATAAGAAATTCTAGACAAACTGAAAAAATCTCTAGTGACAGAAGGCCCATCAGCAGTTGCCTAGGGCAGTCCATGGAGCAGAGGTTGACTGTACAGGTACATGAGGGAACTTTCTGGTGTGCCAGAAATGTTTTCTGTCATAATTGTGGCATCAGTTACCCAATTGTATATTTCATAAATATCATCGAATTGCACACATAAAATTGGTAACCTTAATTGTATATAAATTATAGCTCAAGAGATGATGGAAAATTCAGCTTTGCTGCAAAGGTGATTAATTGTGTAGCCTTTCCACTGAATCTTGGTAGTTTCAATGTAGCTACAATTAATTTAAAAGTTAGGGCAAAGAGGTAAGAAAATAAAGAAATAAAATAGATTTGAGACTATGTGTAACAATTTAAGTATGATTACAAACATATGTAACTGAAATTAAATAGATTAGAAGCCTACAAAATTTATGAAGGAGTAATTTTGCCAAATAAACTATGGGGCAGACTGAAAATTATTTGACTTTTTGTGACTTATAATAAACTTTGGTCCTCCAAACTTCCATGTACAGAAAGCTGGCTTTAAAAGCCTTACAATTTCTCAAGAGGGCATTATCCCTGCTTCAGACATTGTCATGGAGCATGATGGATAAGACAGAACTTCTAGACGGTAGAGTCAGGGCCACAGAGATTATTTCCTCTTCTGGGTTCAGAGGTCTTCATAATATCTCCCCGGTGGGATTTCAGAATTGCTACAGAAGAATAATTACCGAGTCTCTCATTCTTCCTCTTTATGATGGATATCATCATTACCCTGTCTTTATTCCCTGTACATACTGTACATATAATTCTGTACGTAGTAGGAGAAAGTCTTTTCAGTTTACAAGCAGCCAGACCACAGGGAATCCTTGTCACACCAAATGCAGATGACTGTTCAAGTTCAGAAGATCCTGGATTTTGAGTAGATACAGTGACTGGATTGGACCTTAGGTTTTCTTTCCTGGGCATGGAATTAGTGTGTGCTATATGTGGGCAAAAGGCTAAAATATGTTTAAATTTTCCAAGGCAATTGATCCAGAGCTGAGCAAATGGAACTCACAGTCATTTCCTGGTTTCCATCCTTCATTCCATTCATTCTCTCATCCACTGTCTATTGCATTTTTACTTGGGCACTGGGAAGGTAGAAATGAAAATCACACAATCCTCCTCTGCAGCATCTCCCATTCTAGGCAGATAGTCTCGTGTGCTCATATTTGCATTACAGTGCATCCGCCATGGAGAACAAGCGTACATGCTGATGGACTGAGAGGTGAGCTCCTAAAGGTGAGGTAATCTTCCGAAAAAGGAGAGAATTGAGTGTGGATTTAAAGGATGCAGAAAGACTATGAAAGTGAAAAGCTTTGGTCCATTTAATCAGATTGCTCAGGAAGCTCCATATAAATGTTTATCATAGTAATCCACTCATTAATTACTCATTCATTTATTCATCTAACAAACCTAAACCCTCCTTCAATTACAGAGATTTTCTGTGCTGGGGACCATGTTAGGTATTATATTAGTTTTCTATTACTACTGCAACAAATTGTCACAAACTTAGTGGCTTAAAACAACCCAAATTTATTAACTTACAGTTTGGTAGGTCAGAAATGTGGCATGGTCTTAGCGGACTAAAATCAAGGCGATGGCTGGTCTGCATTCCTTTCTAGAAGCTCCGTAGGGGAAAATGCATTTCCTTGCATCTTTGGGTTTCTGCAGGCCACCCTATGTTACCTTCTCCTTCCTGCATCTACAAAGCCAGCAATGGCAGTGGGAGTCCTTCTCATATCACATTGCCCTGACTACCTCTTCTGCCTCCCTTTTCCACTTGGAAGAATGCTTCCCATTACAATGGGCCCACCTGGATAATTCAAAATAATCTCCCCATCTCAAGGTCCTAATTTAATCGCATCTGCAAAGTCTCACATAAGGTAGCATCTTCACAAATTCTGGGGATCAAGACTTGGACATCTTTCGAGGGGCATTATTTGCCTAGCACAGGCACAAATCTGCAGTGTTTCCCTTTACTCCTGAGATCTACAATAGGGCCTGACTGTGCCTGTCTCCCCAAATTCCAATTAGCTGCTAATCCACCAAGCCAGCAAATAGTCTAAATATTCCAGTCTCTCATCCATTCTTTGAGGAAGAAGTTGTTTTGAGAAGTTAATCTCTTTTATAATTCTCATTTTAAAGATGAAGCAACTGATATTCTGGGAGTTTAATTAGCATGCCCAAAGTCACAGGTGATGGAAGCAGAATATTGTTAAACTTCAGAGCTCATGACTGCAGGTCCCTTCATTTCCCAGAGCAAGATTCTGTCAGATCTCATATAGAGTTCATTTTAAGTTGTTCTTTTTTTAAAAAGTCCATTATTTAATGAGACTAATTTAGGGAAAGGTATAAAAATTTAATCACTTTTTTTCTTATTTTACTAATAGAGTACCTTCAAACTTTCAGTGAAAATACTGCATTGAACAAGAAATCCTACTATTCAACTCAATGACAGCTGACTATGACGCACTTTCAAATGACGGGTACTTGGTGATGCATCTGTTCACCCCAGGAAATCTCTCCCATGCACGTCTCTAAATCTTCTCTATTCTAAGTAAATTGCCTGAAGATGAATTTATTATCATTTTGCTACATTTTCCAAGCAGTATTTAAACAGCTGAATGGAAGGAGTTATCTGCCACCCTTACAGGTTCCTTCCCTTGTTATTAATTATTTGGGTATTTATAGGGTATCAGTACAGAACTCCATTTCTTGAGGACTATTAGTTACGGTAGCAATGAGATAAGATTGATTTCTGGAACTTGTTCCAGAGTACCCATGTTTATAGAGCACCTTCCAAATAAAACTGGATCCATACACCCCCTAACTACAGACTTAGAGATGCTATTCTTCAGATGGGATAGTGTGGGTCAATGGACAAGGACGCAGGATCAGTCACAAGGCTAATGAGTAGTAGAGTCCAGATTTGAATAGAAAGCTCATGTTCTTTCAATTATCCCATGCTGCTTTTTAACT